AATAAATAAAAGAGAAAGTTTCTCAAAACTTATCAGATATAATATTAAATAAAAACAGCAAAAAACAAATCTCTTTGCAGAGTATAGTCTTGATTACATAAAAATATACATATATATGCACATGTACAGAAAAAAGGAAGAAAAATTAGAATGTTAACATCTCTCCCTGGTGGGAATTAAGGGTTATTATAATCTCTTATACTTTTCCATGCCTTGTAAATTTTCTATAAAAAGCATATGTTTATTTTAAAAAGCATAAAAAGAGTTTTAAAAGGTAATAATACATCAAAAGACAAACTCTTTGGAGAATGCTTATCACTAATTTTTCAACTCATATCATTTGAAAATGAATGTCAAATTCTTATAATGATCAAGCCAAACAAAATGTACCCCCCCAGTAGTTGATGTGATATGGGATTTTGTCAATTTACCGGAGTTCCTCTCTCTCTTCCTTTGGGCTTTGAATCTCTACTTCCAAAACTGGTACTTTAGACACAGGATCTTTACAGATATTTTCACTTGAAATTAAATTAGCAGTCACAGTTTCCTCCCCTACAGTAAAATGATTTAATTGTTCAAATTCTTGTAAAAGTTTCGAGACCTATAAAGTGAAGTGAAAAGACAAACATTCTATTTCACATAGTTTTATGTATAGCTGTGAAAAAAACATACTGTTTCCATTAAGTGTTTAATTATTGACTTAAATAATATAAATTGATATCCTAATTGAAGTCTTATTCCAATTTAATTTAATACTTTGCAGTTGTTATATAACTTAATTGATTTTTACCATAAGCGTAAGGGTGGGCAGGTTCACAATTTTTTTTTAAGAAAGATATTTTTGGTTTCTGGAGTCATCCTCTCAGAGTGCTGTTTAGAGTTTTGTTCTACCTTTTAACAAGCAAAAAGATCTGATTTATAGAGTTTTACACTATTAACACGCAGTTTTGTTCTCAAGATTTGAATGTATTTCATTGATTCATAAAAGCAATATTATATTGCTGCAAGAAAACATTAGAAAGAATATTAGAAATATATTACAGAGAACAACTTTCTTCCAGTCTGACCCTATTTATCTGAAAACACTTGAACTTGTAAAGGCTTCCAGACTGTCACAGAGGTTCTCAACCTTTACCATATAAAAGCATCACCTGAGGAGTGTATTAAAATGCAGTCTTATGTTGCAGACCTAACCCTGAGATTCAGAATCAGTGGTCTGGGGTGGGAAATGAAAATTTGCACTTTAAATAAGCCTCCCAGGTCATTCTGATGCAAGTAGACGCTTTGAGAGTCACTGCCCTATTGTGTGATTTGGTAAAACATTTGTTCAGGTTTTTTGTTTTGTTTTTCAGACAAACAGATTCTGAAGATTTCCTTTCCTAAAAGGTTACTCTTTATATCTTCATGTAAAATGAAAGAACACCTCTACTCATGGAGTAGAAAGAATGGGTGGGGAATGGTTCTAAGAATGGAAGATGGATCCCCATCAAAGTATCGCACTGCTGTAGACAATAGCTCCCACCCCCGCCCCGCCAACTCACATTCTGAGCCTCTCTGAAAATGCAAATCTTCTATAGTAACTATGTTTGATTCTGAGAACACAATGGATTTAATTCTAAAGATCAATTTAAGTTTACATTAAGAGATCCCTTTGTTTTGTTTTCTATGCCTTTTCAATTCTCAGAAGAAAATCTCTAGTGTATGAGATGGATTATAATCTCATAAATCCATATAATCTCAAATGTACTATAAACTTTCCAGGGAAGAAGGTTGGCCTTGAACTGGGCCTTTGGGGATGGGCGGATTTGGATGGGTGAAGAGACTACCTATAGCACATTTCAAGCAAGGGGAGCAATATGGTCAAAGGCACTGACACAGAACTGAGTATAGAAAAATTTGTGGAGAACTGATGAGGCTGGTCTTACTGGAGTAGAGGCTACAAAACGAGGAGCTGAGGAAATAATGCAAGATTGAGGGGAGGAGTCATCTTCTGAAGGGACTTGAAAGATGATTTTCTTAATGAGCTTGCATCATTTTTGTAAGCAGGAACAAAGATTCCAAAATGCTACTTAATCACTGATGTTTATGACCATTGTAAAAATGTAAACATTACAGATAATAAATGCTAGTTCCTTAAGAAGTAAAGAAGGGTAAACAGTGGAGTTTAGATTTGATGTATAACAAACTGAGAACTGCTGAAGATTTCTAAAGAGGATAGTGACACCAACCCTGAGCATTTTCTAGGTATTCTAGATTCTTGCATGACAAACTTAAGTGTGTAAACGCTTTGCTTTTTATCATGAAGAAACTTAAAGCCACAAGACCTTCCATGACATGGATATTGTGGAGCAGAAACAACTCTCTTCCACAGGCTTCTTCCTATCAAAATTTTATCTTAGAGATATAGCTCAATCTACTAATCAGCCATATTTAACACATTGACTGCCACAGTCGAAAAAAAAAATTTCCTTGGGGCCATGGTGTTTTATTACGAAAATAGAATAAAAATTTCAAAAACAAAATGATCCTTTCTAATTTAATGAAAAAT